CAAAATTATACACATTCCTTAAGAGTTACTTCGATTCTGAACAGAATATTTGGCAAACCTAAATCGATAAGTATTATAAAAATACAATGCTACATTTGAATTAATATTTACCGCGTAAACATTTGAGCTATACAGCTTTATTGAATGTACTGCGTTGGTTATACGACACAAAACATTGCTGACTTTCTGTGAATGTGCATGTGTTTTAAAAAATGTAATCTGTCAGATGTCCTATAAACATATATCTTATAAGCCTTGTTTGCACTGGCGTCTTTCAATGCGATTCGCATACTACATATAGCTGTGCGTTTAATCCCGCTGTAAAGCAAATCGGTCGTGATTTATCAAAAATCACGTGCGGATCAAACAAATTTTATAACGGCAATTCGTAAAAAATAGTTATAAAAACAGCCTCTAACTGCTGCTTTGTTAGTCAATCACTCCCCATTTGTGGCGGGATGCATGACCAGATAAATAAAAATATTAGAAAATGACACGAAATTTGAATATTTACAACAGTTATTTACATACCTCTAATTAACTACCAACACGAACTGTCTGCTTCTTCATACGACTCGGTAAAATATATTGTTAAATATCGCATATTTTAAAATTCTAGACAATATTTTCAGGCGGCTTGTGGGCCCGAAGCCAAGAAAATGCTCTGTATTCTACATAGACGTCAAACACAAGCAAACGTAAATTACAGGTGTGGTTCATAATATTATAAAGAGCATTATATATGGTACGACAAATTCATTTTTGTTAGAAATGTGAACGGTTTCATTTAGCGGGGGCTGGATAAAGGCCAACGCATAAAACCAGAGTACTTCTTATCACTTACTGATGCTTCAGAAATAAGTAATTATAATAATACGATGGAAATATAAATTCAAATTTTCTCTATAAAATAAAATCAAATATTTCGGTGATATGAAATGAACTATTAGCAATAATGCCGTTCATAGTAATCCTCCTCCGGAACGGTCAGGATTAACAGCAATGCAGTTAAGGTGATTAGTAAGGTGATAACACAACCAAACTAGCACGCAGGCGCAAATATTAGGCGCTGTAGATATCAAAAACTTGCAGCGTTATTTGTTAGGAGCGAGGAAATAGACCATTTAGTTGCTTGGCTTTTAATTTACGTGGTTGTGTTTTAAATGCAGTAAGCAAGTACGAACAGCGTTCCTGCCAGTCGTGGCTGAATTATTCTGAATAGATCCTGAGGCACGCGTAGGACATCTGTGTGAAAATTGAAGAGTCAAAGCATCCAAATGCCTTTCGCCTAAATGGCAAAATTTTATACCATTTTGTGTTGCTTTTTCTGTATGGTGTGGAGAACCCAATTATTCTTGTACTAGCACACCTTGGTCACATTCCGTAGAAACACACCTCGTTAACGGAACAAACAACATATCCTTCTAAGGGTGTTTGAGTTGTATACGCTGTAACTGCAAATAGCGTCGTTGAAATGAAACCTGCTGTAATGCGCCTGTTTTGGATACCATATCGTGGTAATATTTGAATGCTAACTAGGCTAGTTGTTTTGTCGGCCTGTCCCTGGTAGCACATGTCCAGGTCCTGTCCAGTTCAGCATCCTAAACGTTCCTATGAGAGCATTAGGCTAAACTGGACAGGAAGTATTACCGTGAGACGGCTAAAAAGGGTTCCTGTCCAGTTTACGTTGGACCAATGAAGATGATGCTAGCGTTGACCAATAGAAATTCACCACTATGCGTGACAATCCGGCTGGTCCAGATCCCGTCATTGCCTCCCATGGGTATCCGAATACAGACAACACACTTGAACGCACTATGCGCCTAACGAATATATGGACGACTCGGACCTAGTGTTCACCCGGTACCAGTTGCGGTAGTTTCTGGACTTGGGAACCCACCTAGGCGGCGACTCAAAGCTGTTGGTCAGAAAAGGAAACCGCTCTTACCGCGCACCTGACATCACAAGGCGAAAGAAAATTAAAACCGAGGTATAGGAATGCTATATATACATGAAGGGGTGCAGTACAAAGAACGTTAGTAGCAGAAAGCGGCATAGTCAATATTCTTAATCTGCTTCCGCGAGTGTCAACGTAGGAGGCTAAAGATGTGCCTAAGGAAGCAGGGGACTCACCTCATTCGCACTGCATACTTTAGTTTGCTCAACCGGCGGTCTTTTGTGCCGTGCAGAATGCAACCACGTTTTGATGTGCCGTGTAATGTCAGCATCCGAGGCTGCATCACCCATGCGTTGCCGAATGAGGCCTTGGTAGTTTTTATGGATTACTGCATTTCAACCTACCTTGTACAAGGCCGTTCATATTTGTTCGCCTGAATGCAAAGGAACCTCTAGCGCCGGAGTAATTTATCTCCGCGGCAACTGATCTTGTCATTAGCCGCTCCATGGTACCCCGGACGATGAGTTGTATGTTATCACCGTGCACAGCACATAAATGGTTGACCTAAAGTATTTGAATAATAAGACGAACTTACGACTCTGATTTTGAAATCCGGGTCCTTCAGCCGTTCATCATATCTCTTTAGCTCACTGAGAGAGATGAATGGCAGAGATAGTCCCGGCGCAACACTTTGGGATTGTCGTTGTAGCATTTGCAACATCGCTTCGGACATGCGACGATGGCCGACCAATTCTGATCGAATGAGACACAACTCATCTAAAAATAAGGCTGAGTGCAATGCAATACATCTGTGGCGTCTTACATTTTATGGCCTGCAGTTCGTGCAGCACATCCAGATTGCTTGGTGGGACGTCAGCAATAACCGGTGGCGCGATTACTGTTTAATAGGGGCAGTATGAAATCGATACTTACGGTTGCTTGTTGATGGTCCTGGACGTGACGGACTAATGCCACTGAACAGAGAGGAGGGCGCACGTGCGTAGGTTGCTGCAGAAGGCCTTTTGGGTTTGCTTGGACGCGCGGCATCCTCGTCATCGGAGCTCGAACGGACGGGCCGGCGTCTAAGGGGAAATAAAAAACACAATACTCACATTGCACGCTTAGCTGGAAGGCCCATGGGAATTGTATCGTCTGTCGATGGCAGCATCCCGCGCTCAGATTGCCGTTCCATTTCTCGGGCATGTTGGAAGCTAACTAACGAGGTGGGTTAATATAAGAGAAATACTTACTAGTGCTAACGATTATGGACACGGCAGTGCTAACCACATCGACATCCGGCGCAGTGTGATTTTTCACCGCTGCATAGTAGTGCGTACCTCGCACTGAAGGTATTTGAGCGTACGAACCTCTTCTCTAAGCCAAGTGTTACTGACAATAGTTATTAAATCCTCGGAGTCAAGGAGTTTGACAACGCTGTATCCTTGAAAAGCCATCATTGCTGAAAAAGAAAGACGTTAGTAGTTAAAGTGTATAACTGTGTGGCATAGGGTAAATTACAAGAAAATCGTTCAAGGGTAAAGCAATGCACTTAAAGAGAATATGACAGACAGAGAAGGTACATACCTCAGTTGACAACTGCGATGCACGGAAGATGTACGCCGTTGAGGAATCCATGCTATGCGTGAACAGACTACGAAGATTCATAAATTCCCGGCATTGCACGACAATGTTCCCGGACACATTCACAGACACATCTGTCAGTACTCTGGGTTTGGCATCGATGATGACCACGTTATCCGGCTTCACAGTGGAAAACAAAATGCCGTGCAAACAAAACGCCTTCTGACCCTTATATGTGCACATCTCTACATTCCCAACGGTGCTTGCGTTGCTGGAAGTAGGAGGAAGCTGTTCCTCTTCCGACGTACGCCGCATGATTTGAGCAACCGGACGCGGGGAATTGTGAATCATGCGCTTGATGGAAAACAAGTGAGACTCGAAGGGAAATGCTGAGAAGCTGTCTAAAGTCCCCATCTTTCGTACGTCAGCGGGAAGATGAACCAGTGAGTGTACGTTCCACGTCATCTCACTGGGACCATAAAGATCAAAGTAATCATGTAAAAATACATGAATTAAAGGAACAAGGAAATCAAATAAGGCAGTGTGAAGGTGAGGGTGGCACATAATATAAATAGCAAATGAGAGATCTAGAAAGTTTTGATAGAAAGCGTCAGGCAATACCCCAATTAAACAAGCTGGTCCGGCGTATAGCAAAAACTGACGCAACTCAGTTGCCTTCCAAGATCGGTATTCATCCAGTGATCGAAGCTTACGTGGAAAGTCCGATGTCCAGGAGGGCCCGAACTCGTGCAACCGTTCGTTTGCTAAAATCAATCGCTCTCTGCGCAGTCGAAATCCACTGTCCACGGGCGAAGTAAGCCAGTTTTTTTATCATTCTGCGCATAACACCCAAACATACTGAATGCATATAGTCAATTGGGAAGTCCTCAACCAAATCGACATTCAAAGCAGCAAAAGGCGACGGTTGGCTATCATTCCTTCGAACGGATGCATTAGTCCGTAGTGTGCTATCAGTAAGTGGGTACGTTACCTTGCGGCTCATATACTCACCACGTTGGGTGCATTTGTCACAGCTGTAATAACCCGAATGTTCTTTTTTTCTTTTCACATACGCGCGTGCAGGGGTATCACAGATAACGGCTTTAAGCTTGAATAATCCTTGGCGTTGCAAAGTACGTATCTCATTAATTGTGTCGTACAAGTAATCGTCCACGTCATTCGGCTTCGAGGTCCCACCATAAACACCAACAATGAATGGCTTCGTGATCACTGGCTTTATGACACGGCACAAGATTGGCCATACATGCATCTTGGATGCATTAAAAGGTTTAAACCCGTCGATATGCAACTGATAGTCAACAGTGTCATCAGCGGCGAGCGAAATAGCAGAGCATGCACGCTGTAAACCTCTCAGCAGACCTACGTGACCGTAAGTTCCCGGTGAAACAACGCGAATGCGGGAGGTCCGTGGGGTGCGCATCAACGTCCGGTAATCCTTTGGCAAAAATGGCATCCACGGCTGCACAAGGCACAACAGTGGACGAACAAAAGACGCAGGTACTTGAGATTTTGCGATCAATTTTCTCAAGTTATGTACCAATTCATCGGGGTCCCTGTCATCTTCACTGCGGTTGATAACGTGTGCAGGTGGCTGAACTGTGTAAGCAATCATATTTAAGATATGTTAAAGATGCTCTTACCCTTCTGTCGTTTAGCTTCTGACAACAGAAGCACCTCTTCGTAGCTGAATCCTGATGTCATTCTTTTCGCTGCACGGTAAATGGTGCTACGAGACGGAAACTGTGCAGTTAATTGATAACTTCGTCGACGTGACATGCTGAAAAGGAACACCTACGTATCAAACAATGTTTAACCGAAATACCTGATAGGTACACCTGTGGAAACGCAGTTTCAAGGAAGCTAGACAATAGCGCAGAACGAAGCAGTATCAGCGACCAAGGTTACGAAACCGAAAACGGCCAAATAAAAAGACCTGCAGATGCATTTAAACCGCTGGGGTTATGGTCAAATAATAGCAAATATAATGCATATCAACAATTAATTTATTAACAAATGTCAAACTAAATGCATTTAGCTGCAAGTAATGCATTAATACCTGAAGTGGACATCTGTCCAGTTTATGTCCAGGTTGCTACGTTTAGTGTTACGTTTGTGCTACCAGGAGTGCTTCATACGTTTATTCATTATACACGTTAGCCAGACGTGAAAATTGCATAATTTACTGTGTCGAAATACATACAAAAGGGAAAATATGCAAATTGGCCAAGCCAGCTGAGCTGCGGTTAACAAAGGATCATCGTTTCGATAAGCAACCAGCCGGCAAACATCAGCATATTAATCTAAGTCTAACGAGTAAAATCTTGGTTGCAAAAGAGGCTAGGAGGGATGGGATGAAATAAACAAACCCACAGCACGAAGCCCACTGAGGTCGATTCCTAGCCATAGCAGCGAGTGTACCTAGAAAAACGTGTCCACCGACTTTCCGAACCATCCCATTTGGCTGGGGACCAAGGCCAGCAACGAATTATGGGCCTTCAATCCTCTTTGCCTAAGTCATTGCTTCGTGATACCACATTTTCTTTTAGCTAAACGACCTAAGTCATGGGAGTCAGTGGGCTAGTTTACGTAATAATTGCCCATGTCGTCTGAGTCATGTGCGTAAAATAACAGTGCTGAGCGATTCATTACTTTTTCTTGTGACGGAAACCAGGCGTCGAACAGGCTCTTCTTCTATTTGTTGTTTACACTATTTCTAAGATAAATTGCGAAAGCACCGTCGGTCGAACAAAACTAGCTTTTTTATGTCAATTTGTCTAACGGGCTAGGTATCACACTCGAACATTAGTGTCGCACGTACCGCTGTATTTTGCGCTCCAACCTTCAGGGATAGAGTTGTCTCGTGACGGCGCTATAAATAGCGTAGATAAGCAGAAGCGCCTCGAACTGTTGCTATACGGTTTGTGATCTCATTTTGATCCCATAGACGCGGATACAATTTCCCAAGCATTTGTTCATTTGTCCATATTCTAGATTATCCCCATCGATGGTCAGCGTAAGTGGCGGTTCATTCCAATCATTACGAAACAATTTGCACTTGAATTTTGCAAAGCAAAGCCTGAAGTGAAAGACAGCCGGTGCTATTCTGTCCAATGGTACTGGTCATATTTGTCAACTTTCACAGATTGAAACATGCCGTCAGCGTACTCCAAGTCAAGCAGCCGTTTTCCTGGGAGCAGATTCACACCCTCTAAATCGTGTTCTTTGACAGCGGTTTCCATGAATTCCTCAATAGCGAAGTTGAAGTGCAAAGGTTACAACGGGCGTCCATGTCTAACCGCTGGAAATATTGAAGGGCGATGACAGCTTGCCGTATACCCTAACTATGAGTGAGCTTCGGGCGTATAATGATCGGAATATACTTACATATTTCGCAGGTTCCACTTTGGTGATTAGGTAGTCCCAAATTAACCATTCATCCACGAATCTAATGTAATTTTGATATCGGTAACACCACAACCGTGGGCCATCAATAAATGTGACGGCGCTCCAACAACTAAAGCAAAGGCTGGATGTGGTGAATACACCTACGACCAACACAAAAGAAGGCTTGATGTTCTATTCTTATTAATTGACGAGTGCCAGACAGTATTCAAAAAAGGACAAAGGCACGCAATTTGGAACCGATGAAGATCAGGCAGACTCCCCTATGGTTTCCGCATCCCGATCGTGAGCCTGGCTTGAAAATTGAGACTATTTTGGAGCGGCTTCAGTCCCTTAGAACAGATTTCTGCTGTCAACGTTGCAATACCAACTCGTATAAATCATCCACAAATGCAGGCCCTCTGAATTTGAATAAGACTGTAAGAAGATCATTTGGCTCCGCGGCTTTTTTAACCTAAACTGACCACTCGCATGTTTGAATTTTGAATAAGTGGGTGGATTCAAATTGATCACCTAGGGAGCTGGGCAACCAGTGTCCAACAATAAATCTAACAACTCCGACCGATTAGCTTGCGTTTCTACTTGCTCAGACCACCGCTCAAAGCGTCCTGATAAGTTGCAGATAGCATATTCACCATAGTCACGTATAGTATCACTAAAACCAGGTATTCTCCTGCCTGGTTACCGTAGCAGTCCTAACCACTTACAATGGTCAACGATGGCAGCGGCCGTTTCCATTCCTGGAGCACCTTGATACCAGAAGGATCCGTGGTCTTCCTTAAGGCTAGCACGAAGTTTTTCCCGGAGCACTTTGCGTGTTTCATTGTTTGTGCTTCCAGCCAGAATATGTCGGGGAGCACCCATAATTTTCACAGACTGCGAAGTGACCCGGTATCCATGTTGGTGGTTGGACCTACCCCAGGAAGATTTTCCTGCATCTTGTAAAATCTGTTGAATATGAGACCAGTGGTCATCAATTTCATCTAATGAGCCTACAACCTGCCGAAGTCAAGTACAGCACATTAAATCGCGAAGTGCTGGCCGCTTACTCCACTACCCGCTATTACCAACACGTCGTTGAAAGTAAAAACCTCATTATCTTTAACAAACACAAGCCATTAATCTACGCATTCCGTATTAAATCAGCTGGATACTCACCACTTGAGCCCTGTCAGCTGGATTAAACTGCCCAATTCTCGACTGATATCCGACACATTTCTCGTCAACAAATCCTTGCCGCTGATGCGCTTTCAAGAGTAACTGCGATTGGCCCTGTCGGGCAGGCAATCGATGTGTCTGCTATGGTGGCCGCGCAATCAAACGACCAAACTTATTCGGAACTTTGTGATTACTTTTGAAGATATTCTCACACCCTTTGCAGTCCTCTGATAATACATACGTGCCGGATGATCTTGACAGGTATTTACTAAAATCCAAATGAATGACATAATTTAGGGTTAAATGACCGAAATAAAATTATAAATATTGATCAAGTAGTTTGGTTACTTTTCCCATCAAATTTAAATTGAGGCTGGGAAAGTTAAAATATAAGGATTATGAAGGAAATAACAGTGCTTCCAGCAAATATCTTTATATCAGTGCAGCATTTGCGAGGAGGGCCACTAGAAACCATTGCTTTACGTGTAAGACGCGTTTTTGATTGCTGAGATTGTGGCGTTCAAGGATTGGTGCTATAAAATATGGTAAGACAAAAATGAGGAACACGGCCATATAAAAGTTGCGAAGGCTTAGCTTAGATGACCGCGACGGCTTAAGAAAAACTTGACACTGTTGTATATTTTGCTATGTGATGTATCCAGAATCCTAACTACCAGTTCTAGAGAAGAGACAAACCGCCACTCAATGTCTATCATCCAAAGGTACACGATACGTTTTTCAAGGACAAGAAAGATGTTGCACATAGTACAATTCATGTTAATGTCGGATAAATCACCGCCTAAACTGCTTGTTGGACTTTTGGAAAACATTATTAAGTACAAAGGCGTCATTATTTAACCGAACGTAGGCGCAATCGTTTATTATTCACCAGCACGAAAATAAACTTGTAAGTTTAAAAGAATTCGTGCAAAATTATTGCAAAATACAACTAGCAATATATTAATTAGTATAGATTACAGGCTGCCTAATTAAACGAAGCAAAATTCTCAAAATTGCGCTGCCGATATTGCACAACTATTCTTTATTGAATAATTTACAGGCAATCAGCCAAATTACACAAAATACGCACCAAAATAAGCCACGCTATTTTTAATTTTATGTTTATTAGCTGCGAGTACTAAACTGACTCCTTCATTTATATTAAAATGCGCATCCATTTATTTATCCTAAGATTAATTATTCTGAACAAACTTTACTTACGCGAATTTTAGCTTTTTTTACGTTTCAGCAACAAGGTTATCTAGCAACTGATAAAACTCCCTCTATGCTTACCGGACATTTGACAGAATTCGGCCGCGGATTCTCCCAAGCATACTTACGTCTTCTGTTTACGTGTGTGACACCATTCATCACTGGTTACATTGGTCTAGATAACTCTTTTGTTTTCGTTGGGTCGTGTATTTTGAATAATGCCAACCAGGAGAATAATTCAAATTAACTGTCTGTTTTAAGTACTTAAGGCGATTATAGAACATTTGGCCCCTGCAAGCTCTTTGATAATCTGGCATATTTTCATAGGGCAACCAAAGGAAAGAACCAATCTGTAGCGAGCCGTCTTAAATGGTATCACATTATTATATATCAATTGTTCAGGGTGACGAAACTTGCTTAACGCTAACGCATAAATATTACTAAATATGTCAGTTAAACACCACAAATTTGACAAGCTGAATCTGCCATTGAGCATGAATTTAAGTCATGCAATCTTGGCAAGTTTAGTTGCTAAATTTAGGGTTCAAAGCATAAATCTCGTTATCTCATGAGCCGGTAATATACGAGAAGTTTCAAAATATTTCATGCGTGGTGTCGCCCTTTGATCACTAGCGACTTATATTTTATATAAAGAAGACATCGTGCAATAGATCAACATAAGTTATTAGCAATATTGCATTAGAACTAGATGTTTTACGGATTGCATTTGATGCATTAATGTAAATGGGTTAACCCGTGTTACATGCCTAAATACACAAGAAAAACGTTTTTATATAGAGTGTAAGAACAAAAAATTTTTAAGACGTTTTTGCGATTCAGCTCTGGTAATTTACTGTACTTTTAGTATTTGCCTGATGAAGAACATATTGTTACTGCTGAACATCATCGGCGACATTCGCACAGCTACT